CCCCCCCCATCCCTCCCTCCTCAGCATCAAGTGCAGCCCGGGCGCAGCCCTCGGCTCTCTCTCTGTCAGACTCTTGGAAGAAGCGATGAGGAGAGGGCAGCCGTGGCCCCGCTGACTCCAGGAGCTTTTTTTTTTTTTCGGAAGGGGGATGCTGTGACTCTCGTTTGTTGTCCACCCGGGATCGTTATTTGTTCAGATCCGAGGAGAAGCAGACAACAGAGTGCGCATTTGGGATAATCCGTCAATCGGATGCGAGCAGGTAGGAAGCCTCGGTCCCCCAGATATTAATTCAACCTTTCAGATGGAGACGTGCAAAAAGGCACGAACTTTTCTTTGTTTTTCTTTCTTTACCTCCCATTTCTCGCGTTTTGTGCAGTTCTTTTTATTAATCTATTTTAGAAACGATTTCAAGTGCTGCACACCGTCTCTGATCTGTACACCTTATTACACTTATTTATCTATTTTTATTATTTTGACTTACCCTCGGATGCTGTTTTTGGGGTTATTATCACCTGCTAAGAACATCTGCAGACATGTCAGTGATGCCGATATGTAATTACAGATGTTTCTACTCTCATGTATTGAATTGGTTTGCGTTTTCCATCGCAGTGAGATTAGATCCATGAAAAAAAAAAAGACAAATTCACGCTTCACGAGGACGTTCTATAAAGTGAAAAGCCTTTTGCTCATATTTATTTTTCTCTAATGGGTCCTTGGTGATTCTACCATCCGTGGCAGACGTTTGGAAGTGGATAAAAAATGGTGTGAAGCATCCCCCCCTCCCCTCCCCTTTTTTTTTTTTTTTTGGATGAGCCAAAGAGCGCCATCCTCTGGTCCCTTTCGCTCTCTGGGTTGCTTCCAGTGCTCCCCTGTGAGTCCTTACACTCCGGGATAGAGAGGGCACGGCCTCCCCGTTCAGCTGACAGCAGTGGAAAACAATTTAGTTTAAATGAGTGCCTTTCCTTCCACCAAAAGCCATCATGGCAGCCTATCAGTTTCCACTCCGTGCTGAATAATTGCAGGCTCCCTCCTGGATTTGTGTTTTGTCTGCGTCTGGCTGTGGGAGTGTGAAGCTCAAACCAAAAAAAAAAAAAAAAAAAAAACTGAGGCTCTCTCTTTGCATTCTCATTTGCTGAGACTGTTTAACAGCTCTTGCGGGCTTGTATTTTATTACCGTCTGTTGTAGGCTGGTTAGACGTCAGCCGCTGGCTTCCTTTTATTGGAGGCTGTGTCTTAGACCCCGTGCCAAACTGTCCCTCTTTGCAACGTCAGTGATCAGTTGGATGACAGCTGCAGAAAAAAAAAACAGGGCCTTACTTAACAAAAAAAGTAAAAAAACTCTCCGTAGAAGAGTGGAATTTGGGTGGGTCTCTGCGGTGGATGATGATCGGCAGGTGATGACAGAAGCAGTGAGGTAGTTTTCCCTCTCAGCTGAGTTCCCGGGAGCTTTGCCAAAACAGAAAGCGTCTCACTCTCAGAGTACACCAGCTTCCACACGGGCCAATCCCTGTTATCCTCCCCGTAAGCTGAAAAAGTTTAACCCCGGGCCGGAGATGTCAGACTATCTGACTCACTCCATTTGAACTCCTTGAAAAGCCTAAATAGAAAAACACAACTTTGGTAAATCCCTCTTAACTTCAGTTTGAAATAAACTTTTGGGATTCACACGCCTGCCGTAATGCTCCCCGATCCAATTTATTTAGCTCGCGTGACTCCGTCGCCATAGTCACGCTGTTTAAATTAATCTTTAGTTGAGCGAGAGTCTGCAGAATCTAATAAAACACACCCGTATTTAGACAGACATCAGGATAGCGAGACACAGAGGAGTGAAAAAGCAGCATTTCTGCTCGACGCCGTTTCTGTGAGCTCTTGCAGTCTCGTGGAGCTAAGGAAACCAGATATGGCCATTACAGAGGGAGAAGGTTAACCATTGTGGCAGACCTCCAAGCCGACGTCTCAGCTCATTCAAAGGATCAGGGTTCATCCTCCCCCCGTCCCGCTGCCCACAGCCTCCAGCAAGAGTCACAGGCCCTAAATCTTCTCTTAACCACACGTGTGGAAAAAAAAAACAAGCGAAAAAAAAAAGCCAACAACAAAGTGTCGCTTATTTATGTAAATAATGGCACCGGCCGTCTCAGCGGGCGCTTAAACACTTCAGCGTGCTGTGCTGTCACCGTCTGAAGGCCCGGCTTCTCTGATAGTCGGAGCTACATTACCTCCTCGTGGCCGCTTCAGGAACTGTTTGAGTCACATTGGAATTTCTCAGGCAGCCCCTGGGCAAACTCCCACATGGTGAACATTCCTAAAGCGACTCTTTCAGAGTCTCAAACCCACAGTAACGCTTTTTTCAGCTAAGTTATGTTTATTGATTAGCTGTCATCATTGATAAGAATGGATGCGTAACCCCAGATATTTCACTGAATGGGCGGAAATCATTAGTTTATCTACTAAGGACGGTGGGGTTTTATTGCATTCCATCCATCCATCCATCCATCAATCATCATAGCCGCTTATTCCCTAATAGGGTCAAGGGGGGAACCGGAGCCTATCCCAGTGGTCAATGGGCGAGAGGTCGGGTACACCCTGGACGGTCCACCAGTCCATAGCAGGGCCACACAGAGACACACAAGGACAAACAACCACGCACACTCACTCCTAAGGGCAATTTGGAATGTCCAATTAGGTGGAGAACCCGTAGAGAACCCACGCAGACACAGGGAGAACATGCAAACGCCACACTGAAAGGTCCTGGTTCCCCCGGGGACTAGAACCAAGAACCTTCTTGCTCGGAGGTGATGGTGCTAACCACCACCAATCTTGGTTGCCATTGGCGTCATACCGTTGCAGTTATTTGCTACCGTTACTAGAGTAAATACGAGACGTCATCTTGAGTCCATCAACGTGCAAAACCTTGAGGCAAATTAGATGTTTTCATGTAGATCCCAGCAGGCCAACACCCCATGCTGCGAAAAGGTCTGTTCCTTTCTAAGGCGTCTACCTGTGGTCTTCTGGTTTCAGAGTCAGGCCCAACCTGAAGATGGGCCCCATACCGCTGTGCGTCCTGCTCCCGGTGACGGTGCTGGCTGTGGTGGCGGCCGCGGCGGCCGAGGACGAGTACGCCCAGGACGAGTACACCTGGCCGCAGTGGAAGGTGCCGCTGGTAAGGAAGCGGCGCACCGTGCCCCTCAGCAGCCCCGACTTTTCGGCCCGTCCCCGGCCGGAGCTGAGCGGGACGTGCGGGATCGAATGCCAGCGCCGCCTGCCCTCGCCCTCGCTGGACGACCTGGAGCAGTTCCTGTCCTACGAGACGGTCTACGAGAACGGCACTCGCACCTACACCTCCGTGTCCGTCCAGGGCCTCAACGAGGCGGCCGGCTGGTCGAAGAACGCCTCGTCCGGTTCCCGCCGCCGCAAGCGCGAGGTGTACGGCACCGACAGCCGCTTCACCATCGCCGACAAGCAGTTCTCCACCAAGTACCCCTTCTCCACCTCGGTGAAGATCTCCACCGGATGCTCGGGGGTGCTGGTGTCGCCCAAACACGTGCTCACAGCCGCCCACTGCATCCACGACGGGAAGGATTACCTGAGCGGAGTGCAAAAGCTCCGCGTGGGGATCCTGAAGGAGAAGTCCCGACGAGGGAAGGGGGGCAAGGGGAGAGGAGGGAGAGGGAAGGGGAAAAGAAGGAAGGGCGACGCCGCCAAAGGCGACCAGGACCAGGAAAAGGAGGAGAACGGTGGGAAAGAAGAACGTAAGAGAAAGGGGAAAGACAGGAAGAGCCGGAGTCGCCGGAGCGTGGAACCTGGGAAACCCTCCTTCAGGTGGACCAGGGTGAAACAAACCCAGGTTCCAAAGGGCTGGTTCAAAGGAGTGTCCGACGGACTGGCCGCAGACTACGACTACGCCGTCCTGGAGCTGAAGAAAGCCCCCAAAGTAAAGCACATGGATCTGGGCGTCATCCCCTCGGTCAAGAAGCTTCCCGCCGGCAGGATCCACTTCTCGGGCTTCGACGACGACCGGCCCGGCGACCTGGTGTACCGCTTCTGCTCCGTGTCCGAGGAGTCCAGTGACTTGCTGTATCAGTACTGCGACGCCAAGCCCGGGTCCAGCGGCTCGGGAGTCTACATCCGGCTGAAGGAGCCGGGCAAGAAGAAGTGGAAGAGGAAGATCATAGGAGTGTTTTCCGGTCACCAGTGGGTGGACGTGAACGGGGACGGGACGCAGCAGGATTACAACGTGGCGGTGAGGATAACGCCCCTAAAATATGCTCAGATCTGCGCCTGGGTCCACGGAGACTCCAGCCAGTGTCAGGTAGCTTGAGACCAGTATCCACCGTACCATTCCCCCCCCCGTACCCACTGCCGTAAAAGAGGCTCCCCGCCCACTTTGACCCCCTTCATCACCAACCGGGGGCCTTTTCCTCTCCCTGTCCTCCTCTTGCTGCCTCCACATGGATCAGCCTACACTGATCGACACAAACACAGGCAGCTGAGCACACTCGGTCTTGACAACAACAGGAACTCGTCGACGCATCAAGAGAACTGTGGCTCGTCAGCTTTTTCTTATTTATTTGCTTAGAAACAAAAAAAGAAACACCTTAACGGAAAAAAATAAGCAGCATTCTCTTTTTTGAATTGAGTTTGTTTAAAAAAAATCATTTTGGAAATTGTGCATACCAAAGCCTCGGTTTATTTTAATTTACTCTAGACTTGGATTTGAAGTATTTCTCCACTACTGTAATAAAAATGTTTGTTTTTTTAAGTTGCATGTGCATTGGCATTGAGTAAAGACACAGAAAAAAATCGAAACGATGGTGAGAAAACTCCTTTCTGGACGTTAACTGACAAACTTGTGTTTTGCATTGTGTATATCTAGAACGTGTATATCTAAACTTCTGTTTGTTTGCTTTTTTTTGTTACTACCTTTTAAAGTCTATCGTTGTGCCTAAGTAGAGTAAGAATCCTTTTGGATGCTGCATAGATTTTTTTTATATGACCTTTGACTTTCACCCTCTTTTCTCTGTTTTTGCAACACAGTGAAATGTGGTTTCATTGCTGTGCACATAATCATATCGGAGCTTTTCCAGAGGACATGGTGCTAATTTATGGGACTGTAAACATTTTTTTTTAAGAGGGGGGACTTCTCAGAAAATATTTTGATGGCCTAGTACTGTAACTATGTATTTAATGTGAGGTTACATGTCTGAATTGTGTTACAATGGGACTGAACCATTCAACACTCTACTTGAGCTGTTTATATTTCTCTATTTCTAAAGGTTAAATAAGGTCTTTAAAGACAGAATATTTTGATGTAAAACATTTAAAATTGGAATGTAAATGTCATTTGACTTCCTTGTTGCTATTTTTCCAAAAAAACTAACTATCCATTTAGAATACCAAATATATTGACTGAATTATTGAGTTATTGAAGACTGAAGGCTACCAACCAACCATTAAACCAAATTTTTTTTAAATCTGTGTCCGTGTGCGTTTAAGTGTGTGTATTTTCACAGTTCTCTTATGGCAGTGAATTACATTTTTTAACTCACGGTTATCCAAGAGTTGCAGTGATGCATCATCTTTAGAGTTGAGGTAGATGGATGCCGCACACACTTATTTGGCGTGAAGAAGAAATCCGAAGAAAAAAACAAAATCCTATTTACAATTTTACCACAAAGTGATAATTGACATAAAAACCTAAAAAATGCAGACCTTCATTAGAAATGATGACATTCTCACACAAAAGTGCAACTACCTACCATGGAAGAAGTTGATTTTCTTTTACAATGTAACTGTAAAATTAACAGTTTTTTTTTCCTTTTTGAAAGGGCTAGAATTATTTTAGGTGCATGATTTTGAAAAAAGCCTGTTAACATTCACATTCCAAGTGTGGGGATTAGTCGTTCTTGCCAAGGTTTGAGCTAACTGCACATTTGGCATATGTATTTAGACTTTCTGGATTGGGGATATAAATACATTTTGCTGATCCCAAACATGACGAATGGAAAAAATATACAGTGATGGTGTCGTAGAAAAAAAAAAACGACGAGCACCTCGATCCGTCATCCAATTTATTGCATCTCAAATGGCTTACATGCACTTGGGAGAGGGACGTTATAAATAATAATTAATTTACAACTAAACAAAAATACAACTTTGACGATTCAGTCATGAAAAATGCTAATGACCTGCCATTTTTTTTAACTTTGAACCACGTGCGACTCTCACAACCAATCCACAGACATGACGGCGAACACACAGGAGTAAAGCGTTACAACTCTCTGCAGTTTACAGCACAGGAGAGACCGGCGGTAAACACCGTCCAACATTTAGAGTATAGTGATTCCACTTAGAGTTGGTCGGTAGAAAGGGAAATGGTTTGTGAAAAGAGGACAAGTTCATGTCTACAAAGTTCAACGGCGACCCCCAGTGGGTCTCTCTACGCATTGTTCCCGTGTGGTCACTCAAAGGATCGCACGGGACTACAAGTTAAATGTTAGCAACGGACATCAGAATGACTCAAACTCTTTCCTCAGACAGCTGTTTCGCTTCGCACGTGGAAGTTAAGGACAGTTTAAATCTGGCATTAGCTCAGATGATGATTTGGGCCTCATTTTACATGGAAGCATGAGCTAAAAGGCTTTCAGCGTTGTCCATGATCTTTTTTGTTAAGTTTTTAGCAAGAAATAATGATAGTAAACTGAATTAGGTTAATCTGGAAGAAAATTCCACATTATACCTGTGACCACTTCCCAATAAAGACCCCCTGTAATGGAACGGTCTGTTATTTCTCCTTTGGTCCTGATTTCAAACCACATGTGATTGTTTTGGGCACAAAACAGCTGTACTGACCGACTCAAAAGACATAATGAGAAAATACCCACACGAGAATCAAGTTGACACAGCCGAACACATATCATACAGGAGAGGCTGCGTTCACCTCTTTGACAAGAGGCTTAAGCCTTCTTTTTGAATGTAAGCTGTAAAGATATGTCATTAAACACCACTGCCAGCAAACGTCCACAAATAATCTGGAAGGTTTTATCTAACCCAAACGGCACATTTGTCGATAAAGACGTAGAAAGAAGGGACATAAAAAGAAACGTGAAACATCAGCCACGAGTTAAAAAGAAAAACAAAACTAAAGAAACCACAATAACAACAACAAAAAGGATCACTTGCTGGTCTTTTAGCACTCAGACATCCAGAGAGGTTGTTTCTAAATATACATTATATTATTCAGTTAGTCATAACTGGGAAATAGAGGGATACTCGCACAACTTCTTACAGTTTCTTGTCTGAATCACATTTATATTTCTCTTCAGCAGACATACAGAATAAAGACTAAATCTATGTACAAGAAATAGGACCTTTCTGTAAGCACCAGGAAATGCTTTTCTCCCTAAATTGACTTCATTGGCTACTCCGATAATTAGAGTAGGACACTCCTCCTTTGGAAGGAGGCGGAGACAAAAGGAGTGGTGGGAGGAGCCTAGGACAGCAAAGCACTTCCATCATTCAATTCAGCACTAGAAATTCATTTCAACACACATTCCTTCCCTTTCTCTCTCGTCTGGACATTTTTTGTATTGGTTTTGCCAGATTTTGTTTAGACAAAAAAGATCAAAACATCTACATAAGCACACACTTGTATTCTTTTTTTTTTCTGTCTCATATACTTGTTAATACTTCGCTATGGTTCACTTTCACAATTTGTGCTACGACATCACACTGGCAAAAGGAAGGGGGGTGGATGGGTGGGCGCTGTGGCAAAAACGAGAGAGTAGCTTAACATCGCTGGCATCCTGAGATGTTGACAGACACCAGGTAAAAAGGTGAGACGTCTTTGATCCAGAGAGGAAAGCAGCTGTGAAACAGCAAGTAAAAAAACACAACATTAGTCGCTTATTGGTTTATAATCACGTGATGAATTGGATCAACAAAAGGTTAAAGCTCCACGTACACATTTTAGAAAGACATATACATCGCAAAAAAAGTCAATTTTCACCATAAATCTTTTTCAAATTTTCTCTTTTGTCATTTGGAAGTAAGTCATTTGGAATTCACTAAATTGGGTTATGATTGTAGTACAATGAACTGGACCTTAAATGGTTTGAATTGGACTGTATATGTGAGGTCTTAAGATTACTATTTATGGTTCAGTCTCGCAGACCTGAACCAAGACAAATGTGGAATTACAGATAATTCATGTTGGGTGCTTTTTTAACTGATTTTGGCGGCCTCTGGAGATGTCTTTGTTCCCCCTTTTCATCAAGACTATAAAGAGGATATGTGTGTTCAATAGTTTACTATGGTGGGCTCTTTTATAGAAGTCCCCATAACCAGTAGTCACACAGTCCAAATGCACAGGGATTTTTGGACTGAAGGTGGAGGCCATTTTTACTGGACAGCTGAACAGCAGCTGAAGCCCACCAGCTGCATTAGCTAGGTGTGATAGAAATGGTGCTGGAAACGTGAACTTATCAAACTAATTTCCCGACAACACACTTTTGAACTGGAATCAGACAGGGATTCACACTCAAACGTACGTGCGGTGTTATAAGAAGTCCTTGAGGTCGAGGTCTGCCAGCGGGTCCTTGGGCTTCTTGGGGCTCTGGGCTGCAGGTGCTGGAGAAATCTGAGACAAAACATGGAAACACGCCTTCACAAAATGAAACCCAGCTAACGCTCCGCTCATTTTTGTCTGTGTGATCCGGTCAAATCCTGATGCGAGGCGTGTGCGTTGTGTTACCGGTGCTCCTGGGGCAGCTCCGGCCACCCCGCTGAAGGGAGGTCTCATCATGGGCTGCCCCATCATAGGCGGCCCCATCATGGGTTGCATCATTGGAGCTCCAGCAGGAGCCTGGCAAGTTCAGGTGAATACATTGTTCAGTGTTTGTTCTCTTTGTGTAAGAAAAATTGCAGGCATATTTTCAGTTCCAGCTCACCATGCCAAAGCCAGGCTGCGCACTCATGGGGGGCACCAGGGGTGCACCAGCAGGAACCGGTCCGGGAGCACCGGGAGCTCCGGGAGCAGCGCCGGCCTGGAGCCACAGAGACAGCAGATTTAGTTTGTTTGTTTAGTCTGGATCTTTATGTGTGTGGTAAGAACCACGTTGCTAAGTTGTGTCTTTCCAGCTGTCCCTGTCCCGTTCTCACCATGGGGGCTCCTGGAGTGGCCCAGAATGTGGGGGCTACCTGTGGCGTCCAGTTGGCCCCTCCCGTCAGCTTCTTCTCGCTTTGCGGGTCCCTAAAAGAGACCAGAAGTGGGACACTTTTCAAGATTTTTGCAAATTAGCTCATTTTACTTGCTTAGGAAAAATGGCTTTACTCAGCATAATACCTTGGATCCTAAATAACCATAATTATTGTATTCTATTAACTCATTGCCATTAGGAAAATAACATCATTGTAGAAAAGTGGACACAGACAATAAATGCCATAACAATATTGATATTTTCAATAGGATGCTCATACCATGTTTTTAGTATAGAGAGCATTTATTTCTTATTTTCAGTGTGCATTTGGAGAAAAAAGCTTTGAGGTTAGAATTAAAAGAGTAATAAAGCAACAGATATCTATTCATTTTTACTCCTGCCTATTCTAATTAAGAATTTTGCCATTAACGGGCCTCATGAGATGAAAAGCAATGTTCACATCCTTTGTAAATCACTCACTTCTTCTTCATTCCGAGGTCTGAGCAGAATTAGAAGTAAAACAAACAAAAAAAGAATTAACATTCACACTAAGCAGTCATTTCAATAAGAATTGATCATGACTTCGCACTGCGGCAAAAGCGTCGGTCTACCTCCAACCAGGTTGGCCAGCGATGAGTCCAGGTCTCCCCCGATGGTCTTGGTAGGGGGTGGGGTGGGGGGGGGAGCAGCTGTTATCCCCCCAGCTGCGACTGGAGTCCCCATGCTCCCAGCTGTGCTCCCAGCTGTGCTGCCCCCGGTGCTCTGGGGCGTGATGGAGGGCATCAGCAGGCCGCCTAATCCATCAAACACTTGAAAGGGGAGACGACACTGATTTACAAACGTGCGATTCCGTAATCTGGCTGACACGGGCAGAAGGCGGGAGTGAGAGCAGGCGGTACAGTGAGGGGGAGGGCGCGGCGCTGCGTGGCATCCTCGGCGTGCGCTGTGCGCTAAAAACAGGACTGAGCATTCAAAGGGAAGTGCACTCACTTGGCCGGGTGCTTGGCCAGTTCATACTGTCATACGAAAGGAACAAAAGGCTAATTCTGAATTCCAACCAGGTGTCATCAAGGCCAAGACAGTTCTCTTTCTGTTCGTACTGTTCTTTATCTATCATTTAAGTGTGTGAAATGTATTGCTAACATCTGCATCATCAACACTGAAGCAGTTCATCCTGAAGCTCTTTTTTGGATGTTGGCTGCTTTGTCTTTGTCAGATGTTTCCACATTACTGGGGAAATTCACCCCCCCATAAAACCTGCTGCAACTAGATTTGAAGTCCAGCTATTGAGTGGTTTGGTATTCAAAAGTGACCTCCAATGCTAATTTCTGATGAGGTTTCGGCAGACAGCCGATGATCCAGATCACGCCCCCGTATCACGTCTTCGCTTTCTTCTAAGAAAAGCAATGTTAGAAGTTCTGCTCAGAAAACATTTATCAAGGTCCACAGCACAATATAAAGCTCATGAATAAATTACATATACCAGTTATATATTATGTAGATTGTGGATCAGATAATTACTATTCAATTTAAGAAGCCTCATATTGATATTAGAGTAATTTATCTATGTATATTATGTTTTTAATGTACTTCATACCAAAACCAATCAATATTTGATAATAATTTGACATAATTAAATGGGGTTAGATGATTGAATGAAACAATTCTGTTTATGTCATAATAATCTATGTAGCAACACTCCAGTACAGTGAAGGTTTCATGAGCTGTCATATAATACTGATCTTTTCAATGCTGCTTAGCTAGCCATTAAAAAAAAAGGCCTTCACACAGATGTTGTCGTTGGCCTTGACAGCATGTGGTCGCAGCCCAGAGAGAGCAACAAAGCTGCGCACAGAACCGAGCGGGGAGTCTTGTGTCGTGCATGGGACGCCATGCAAAGAGGAAGTGCCCTTAAAAGACGGAGACGAGGTGGGAGGAGGAGGGGGGCGCCGTCCAAACTGCACATGCTGCAATGCTCCGTGGAGATCAACTCACCAATCACAGATTAGAAGAAGCAAGCAATGACCCAGCAGAGTGTAAGAGGTGTGGATGGAGGAGGGAGGCAGAGAGAGACAGTGATAAAAGGAAAGCAAGAAAGACAGCAAGAAAGAGGTTTGGAGCAGTATTGAAGAGGGTGGAGGGTGGGGGGGGGGGGTTGTGAATAAAGCACAGCGTTTGTGAAAGAGTTAGAGAATCATTGCAGTCAGCACAGACAATAGTTTCTATCAGGAGGCCGGAGACAGCAGCTCATGTCAGGGCCTCAGTCATGCAGAAGTCAAGCCGTCGGCAGGAAAACCAACTAGGTTGGCTGTAAAAAAAACTGTAGCAGGGCTTTTATTACAGCAGGCCAAATGAAAGCACATCAGACAGATGACCTGCATGAGTGTGAACAAATCCCTCCTTTACTTTGACTTTTTTCGCTTTTGAAAGAGAAAAGAGCTGCTTAGTAAAGAGAGCCAAACGCTGGAGTGTCTTACTTGAGGCGTCGAAGCCACCAGAGGGCGCTGAGGTGGCGGCGGGGGCGGGGTCGGCGGCCACGGGTGCTGCGGCGGGCACTATCGGTACGGCCGCCACTGCCACGGGCGGGGTCGGGGAGGGGAGGGGGCCCAGGGCATCGAAGCCCGTCTCCAGGAGGTCCCCGGCCGGTGCGGGCGCCAGGGCCGGAGCCAGGGCGGGGGCGGCGGCGGGGGCCAGGGTGGGGGACATCAGGCCTGAAGGGGCGCACAGAGATGTAGCCACGCACTTATTTATCCAGAGTTTAACCGGGAAGATCCCCCTCGAGATCATTTTTCCTAATGAGACCCGAGCTTTCTACTAGTCCTGACGCTACTGATGATAAGCAGGTGACATGTTTACCTCTAACAGACAGCCACACAGAGCAAATGCAGATAAAGTCGACGGCTCCAGATGAGTCAATGCGGCATCGACATTTTTTTATTTAATTAAGTGAGATGTGAGCGACGCAGCCTCAAACTGGGTGAATTTATTCAGTTGGCAAATGCGTCTCCACCGAGACTTCCTGCATCATTTCTCCACCTGCATAAACCCCCCGCCCCAGACGGGGGGGGTTGCTTCAAATGCATCTAGCCCTTTCAAAAGTACAACAATTTGCTTAAGATACATGTTCTGTCCAAGAAAACAGGGAGAGGCAGAGAGTCTCACCCCCGAGCAGGTCGTCCCCTGGCCCCCCGGGAGCAGAGCTCTTGGTCTCCTCCACAGGACCACCGAAGGAGTCTGCAGGAGCGTCCAGTTATCCACGGGGCAGCATGAAGGGCACAAAGGGGGGAGAGTTCAGCCCTGGATCACATGATGGGACACAGGGCAGGGAGCTGGGAGACAAAATTACCCCAAGGAAAAACTATAACTTATAAAAAACTATAAAACTAGAACTATAAAAATAACTAATGGGAATAAGGTTTCTGGTAAGAAGAAGATCTCCACAATTTAAACAATACACCCCACCACAATACACCCACATTTCCTCTGGGGGCATCTGGGATCTGTCTACAGTCTGTTCTGTTGTGAGGTTTGATTTGCACTATAACACTATTCGAAAATTAAAATGGACTGAACTTCAGCGGCCAACTTACATGGAAGGGAAAATATATGCAGACTAAGTGAAAAGAAGCAGCAGAATGAGCTAGAGCTCAATTGTACAAAGCAAAACGAATACTTTTAAAAACAGCTAAACGTAGTCCTGCTAATTGAATATGATTTTAAAAAAAAGATGATGGGCATTTCTCAAAAGCATGTGTATAATAAGCACCATACATTGAAAAAGCAAACATTAATTTATTATGTGGGTTCAACAATGCCCTCGTTCCATTGGAATGTGGTATAAGGGTGCTATTAGCTCGTGGAGCTTAAAATAAGGATTCAGTGAAGAGAATTACTTGCTTTAACAGTTGAAAACAAAAAAATAAAATAAAATAAAATAAAATGGAATCTGAGAGGTCAGTAAATAGGCATTTCAGCACAAAGATCCCAGCTGATACATAGCCCTTATCTTGATCTGTATTTGTTTGTGTGTTCTGTTCCAGTACCCAGCAGGTCAATGACCGGCTCTGGCTCCGCCTTGGGCGGGGAGGTGGCCTCCGGGGCGGGAGCAGGGGCACCGGTTGGCGCTGGAGACGTAAACGATTCTAGACAGCAGAGACAAAAGGAAAAGTAGGTTAAATGAAATGACCGATTTCATGGGCAGCCGTTGGGCTCCAAGAGGAGGACGCTGAGCTTGTTAAGGGTTCATCTAAAACCAGCTAAAACGCCGAAGCGGGCATGCAAAGAGGAAGCAGGAGACAGAAGCAAGCACCCCTGCATCGTTACTGTGTGTCCACATCCTCGCAGTGTGTCGGTAGGGGGCCTGGCCAGACGTCGCTGCCATGCACAAACGTGTCTGGCTGCGCTCCTCGTGACGTAAGGAAGGGAAACAGTGATTCAGTGAAAATACAGCGGCTCAACTCACCCGTCACAATGTCTCCAGCGGGAGCCGGCTCGGGCAAAGGGGAGGGCCCGCGCGAAACAGCAGGAAGGTCTAATTTACCAACGCAAGCGAGAGGCAGAATACGAGAAAGAGGAAAACCGTGGGGGTTGGGGAGCAAAAAATAAAAGCATTAGCGTGGTCGGCAGAGAGACAAAGCTGAGACAGAAAGCAGCCACAGAGACTATCCAGTACAGCACGAGTGGGTCGCATGCACAGTTCTCATACCACTATGGGGGGGACAAACCAAGACGAGTAGCAAGAAAACTGCTGACAAAGGAGTGGACACATGGAAACCAGAGGAGATGGAGGAGTTCCACACACAGAGAAATGCATATCAGCTCCTGTACCTGCACCAAAAAGGTCTACGCTAGGAGTGGTAGCAGCTTTGGGTTCTGTGGTAGGGCTTTGCTCAGGCATAGAATCAAACATATCTAAGAACAAGGACACACAACCACATGTACATTCAGATTGAGGTCCAGGGCATTCAGAATGATTAGTTCAGAAGAGAGATGAGGGAGAGCAGAGAAAGCAGATATTTTGATCATTTAATGGGTGAGTAGCAGTGTATCTGTTCAGTGCAATGCAAAAGGAGACAGTGCAAAGTTAAAAGGGAAAAAAGTTACACATCTCAGTATCAGGTCAGTCTGACCAGATTTGTGCCTCTTTTATGTTGAATAATTCTTATTGACAATTTGGTGTGTTTAAGTACAAACATAAGAAATTCAAAATATGAAATATTCAATTCTATATTCAGTTCCAAATGTTTCACGTCCTGATGAACATGAGATAGTATTAAGCCAATTGCAAATTTAGCACGAAAAATGTGTCATCGAACCATATTCCCTTTTAACTCAAGTGCATAAGCTATAATAAAGCATTCTTTGTTAAAAATGTATCTAAAAGACTACTGACAAGCAAGGGAAGAAAACATATTTTTCTTTCCTTTACGACTAGCAGACATTTTGTTAGTTTCTGGTCAACAATCAGAGCAAGTTGAGCCACCTCTGCTTCTAAGACACAAAACTGACCATTGATGCCCCTTTGTATTCACATGTTCTCCCAGATTGTGATTATTATGGCGATATTTGTTTCTTTTTCAAATGCATGGACTCCTACAGAGGCGGTCAAAGTGCTCGATTGACTAATTGAAGGACAGCAGTCATGGAAAATAGAAAAATAAAAGAAATCGGAAATGTAGGGACTGATCGAGTTATTACTGTTGTCACCACCACCACCATCATCATCATCATCATCATTAGCGAGAGCAGCGCGAACATATGTGTCACAACCGTCATCATCTTCATCGTCATAATGCAGGGCAATGCGGCGAGGAGAAGAATGAGAGGACTTTACCACCAAAGATATCTAGAGTCGGGGCGGCTGCAGACTCTGTGGTGGTGGTGTCGGTGGTGGTTGTGGTAGTAGTGGTGGAAGAAGGGGTGGGGGCAGCGATGGGGGCAGCGATGGGGGCGATGATGGTCGGCGCCTCGCTAGAGGTGGGAGGAGTGATGGCGGCAGAGGCCCCCGTGTCGGTGGGCCTCATAGCGAACAGATCCAGCTCTGGAGCAATGTCCGCACTCCCCTCGGTCGTAGCGAAGGGGTCTTTGGGAAGAGGAGCAGGGGGTTGGCGTTCAGGGGGTTAGGAGTTGGTTATGATTAGAGAAGAGGAGAGGAGAAGGGGAGGATTGAAGGTTGGTTAGACAGCAAATACTGTGAGAAGCAATTTGTCTTGAAGCTTCAAGACAGGATTAAGTAAAAAAATAAAAGAAAGTAAAGCACACAGTCACCCATTAACTTCGTTGCTGCATCCATAAAACAGGGAAAGTTTTTTAGTCACTAATGTGAAATAATAGCTCTGTACCTAACTTTCTCAAAAATCACTGGCTCTGTAAAGAGTGTTAAAATTGAATAAAAACAAGAAACTATTGTGTCAATGGTAGTACAGTCCTGGCTTGTGTTTAGAAAAAAACATTGCCTGCAAGTCCTTGTTAGGATATGCTTTTATTTAAATGTTTTAAAAGAATTTCAAGTCTTTTACTCTTTTCTTTTTAGAAAAACATCTTCTTAACAGAAAATTCCAGAAAATGTGCTAGCTGTTGCTTTTTGATGTTAGCAGTTAAAAACTACTCACTATTTATAGGAGCCCCTTCTGTCCTCTCTTATTACTTCTTAAAGTAACATATCTAATTTAGAAAAGGACCGTTTCAATCCATTCAATTTGTTTTGATCCATGCTTTACACTTAAAGTTCATGAAAATGCCAATCTTAAGCTACATAAAGGTGCTATTTAATACTTGAAGGCTTACGATGACACAAGTATTTTAGCAGATAATGTTAAGAAGCCCAGAGTGAATTAAGCCACTCTTGCTGCTCACAGAGCAGTCTGTATTTGGCACCATGATATATCATACCTTCAGAAGACATTTAGGCTTCAGAATGGTCCACCTTTTCTTGTGACGATAAGTAATTCAGGAGGGTAGGAGTGATTGCAGAATGAAGTTAATGCAAAAGCTTGTTAATTGAATAGAAATATGCAACTGTTAATGTCTAGCTGTTAACTACTTTCTAGTAATACATACTTTAAAGGGACACCTCTGCAAATTGCATTAACATACTGTTAAAATCAGTGTTTGCATGCATCAGTAGTCCAATTAAAGCAACCCCAGGGAGTCAATTAGAACAAAAAAGGAAGCAAAAAAAAGCGTTGTAATGATTAGTATAATCATCACCAGTATTAGCAGGGTTAGCAATATCACAATAGGTGGCATTCATCTGTGGAAATCGATATAGCGTAAGTAATAGAGTTTTTACTGAGTGGAAAAATAGGAAGGAGGATAGTAGTAGAGATGAAGGAGGAAAAGGTCCATGACTGGGTCATTAGTGGGATTTGGGGAGAAGACAGTAGGCCCCTGGGGCACATGTTTGTTTTACTGTCTCCTATGGAATCTGAAGTAGCTTTGATTTAATAAAAGCATCACTTCTCACGTTCCCACTCACATCCACTCGCTTGTACACATACCGTACATGTGGTCACAAAAAAAAGCGCTTTTGTCACCCACCAGTTCCACCAAAAGCATCAGCAGCAGGGCCCGCGGCCACGGCGGCAGGACCGTCTCCTGGGGAGGGTGCAAACGCATCTAGGGTATTGCAGACGACAACAGCGGGAACGCAAACGCAAAACGCAACACCCAGGGGCCAACACAACGACACACGGATGGATGTGTGGGACAAAAACATGAGTCGACAAATGAAACGGACAGGACACAAAAAATGAGAGGTCAGCATCAGGAAAAAGCAGAGAATACGAGTAATATGCAGCCCCGTCGGTGGGGTGCTGGCCCTGATTGTTTCACCGCTCACGCAGTGACTTTTGGGGGGGCTGCATAGTGCTGCATTCAGTGAGCGCACTGCCCTTCGCAGGCTTGTGAAATGATGTGAGTTGTCACAAGTTACTTGGACTGTGTGACAAGAGGGAGGATGTCAGGTTCAGGGACGGAGGAGGCAAAGTCTGTCTTTGACAAAGAAACTCATCTTTTCAACAGTCATTGAAAAGTTATGGCTGATGGCAAGACTGAAAAACCAGAGAATCGTTGCAAATATCCACTGAAACATAATGCTCACATATATATGAAACTGTTAGTCAGAAAAACATTGGGGTTGTTGTGGCGCACACATTATACAATCATAACAAAGAACCCCTAAGTGGTTCAAATCCAACCTGCAAAGTAAAATACCACCCATCACTAGCTCATATCTTTTGGGATGTGTCATAAGTGATGAATGTTCTTTTCTGTTTGGAAAACTGGAGATACAGTATATATGTCAGTGCTTTGGTGTGTGTGTGTATGCCTCCCAGAGGGGGGTGGAAGAACAAGCGTCTGGCATTGTGAAAAATATGCACAACTCAGCATGTATGTCTAGCCAACCTACATACTACAAACCTACTAAAATGTGGTGTTTGAAAAGCAGATACTCTATTATTTGATGTTTTCATACCGAATAAGTTAGAATAACATCATTGGGTTTTTTCAAGGGGAAAAGTAGGTAACAAATCAAATGAAAGCCAAATTTTTCTGACTGTTTAAACATGGGATACGAGTCATCATGAAAGTTTTAATGAATGTTAAACTAAGGAGAACTAAGGATTTAAATGGAATTTTCCTTGGAACAGCACCAAATCTCCTGATAATGGAGTATACTCACCTTGTTAGGACAGTTAACAGTTTTTCCTCTTAGGTGACACCTGTTTGTGCATCACATGTTTTCTAAATACAGCTGCTGCTTTAGGAATAGGTTTGAAATCATCTTCAGGTGATGAGAATGATGATAGTGTTTAGAAAATATGGTTGAGTCATGTTTTTTATCTGTATATATGTCATCTGGTTGCACTCAACTGCAGAATTGTGTAAATTGATAGCTAAGATTTCATGAATGGTTATGATGTGATTTAAAGATTTCAGTTTCATTCAAATCCACGATTGCATCATCCGTAAACAAAAGCATCTCAATAAGAGAATCCACACGATGGTGAGGCTTGTTGCGAAAAGCTGGCAGATCTTGAGCTACGTCCTACCCGCCGCCCACACTGACCTCCGAAAAGGTCCATGTCTGTGGCTGAGGTGGTGGCAGGAGCAGAGACAGGCAGCGAGGTGGGCGGCACTGCGGGGGCAGCAGGGGCGGGCGTGGGGGTGGGCGTGGGCGCAGCAGCAGCGGCGGGGGCGGCGGCGGCATCTGCAGACTCCTCGTCTGCCAGCAGAGCTTCAGAAGCTCCGTCAGGAGCGGCCGGAGCTGCTACACAAATAAAACCCCGTAATCCAAATGCCATGGCCCAGTCACAACCCCCAGCGAGGAGCGACAGAGAAGGGAAAGAGTTAAGAAAGTGGGAAGCGGCGGGGAGACTGACAAGCTCACACTTAGTGTGTTGCAAGAGATTCCAAGAAAGAATGTGGGTGTTATGAACTTTAAGTTTGAAGCAAAGCTGAGAGAATAAATCGCTCTCGGCTAATCTTATATTCAGCGTTGATAGCAGAATACTCACCCTCAGCCAGGAGATCTGCGAAAAAAACAGGAAAAAACAAAGAAGACAAAGGCAATTAATGACTTAGTGGAGAAACGAGGGATCAACAATCAGGTGCTTTCAGAGACTTTTCTCTCAATTTCACCAAAAGTGTCATAACAAGACAGAAAGATGAAGCCAAAAAAACTAAAACCTGCTTACTGTAATTTGGTTTTAAAGAGAAACATTCCAGATTTGAAGTCTTTGAAAGGTAATATATCTTACTGTAGCTTACTGTAGCCAGAGAATCCAAAGCCTGAAAACCCACTAATAAGACCTTCAAAGTTGGTCTTTTAAAGCAGCATCAAGTGGGAAAGCTGATTTATAAGTAGGCAAAGCAGCCCAAACAGGTTTGTGTTACAGTTCACTATTTAGTGCTCAGATCTAGTTTTCTGCATGTAGCAAAATTGCATAGTGTTAAAACATGTTTAGAATTTTTGAATTTAGCTCCAAAAACAATGCTTTTTGTGCCAATAACAAACTGTCTTCATACATCTGTTTAACTCTTAAAAACAGAAGTGACAAAAATGAAAAAAACAAAATTTTCCAAGCTAATAATCTGCCTTAACATGAGAGGTTTAACAGAGGTGAAAGAGGACAGCGCCATCAGAGAGTTTAGCATGCAGATTTTAAGGCCTCCTTTTAAAAAAAAGTACAAAGTCACCAATAAAACCAAATTGGTTCAAATCAGCAGGGTGACCTCACCTCCCCATCCGGTCATGGAGGATGTTGCTGCGGCGCCCCCTGCTGAGGACGATGACATGGGGTCGAGGTCCAACAGGAATCCATCGTCAAGAGTGCTGAAATGCCGGGAAACACAAAGAGAGAGAGAGAGTGTGTGTGTGTGTGTGTGTGTGTGAGTTGAGGGTAATAATGTGATATTGATGCAGCTTGGTTAAAACACTTGTAATATTGGTGAGTGGCTCCTACTTGCTGGTAGCGGTGGGGGCGGGGGCAGTCGGGGTGATGGAGGGCGGAGGGGGTTTGGCGGGCGGCCCGGGGCGAGCTGGTGGCCCGCCGGCCGGAGCGGGGGGTGCGTGCCTGGCTGGCGCCGCGGCGGGGGGAGCGTTGTTAGCCGTAGTGTCCTGTAAAACAGACAAAACGCCCAGTGATTACACAGCAGATTGGCCAACAAACAAGATGTGTCACCTTTACCAAAACCTATTTGATAACTCTAATCAGTGTCATGGCAAAAGACTACTATCAATACCACAACATTATGATACCCAGGGACTGTGGCTTACCTTAGTGGGTGACCTGCAAAAGCAACGACAGCATATGAGTATGAGTTCAAAGTTGCACAGTGGTTATTACTAAGATGAAGCAAAGCAAGGGCCTAAGTATCACTTTGCATAATCAGGAAGGCAACATTTCAAAACAATTCCATTAAGCAAAGGGCTGATGTTAATGGGTCTACGCTGAGTAACAGCATCTTGGCCCCAACTCCTCTTTGACAAAGCTTTTCTTTCAGGCATAAAACAGATCTGACTGTTTTATAAGGCATGCATTTAAAGCTTTGAGAGTTTTGGGGCGGGCTGCACATTCGGGTGAAAACACAGAGATATTTTTTGTGTGACAACAAGCATGACGGGAAAAGTGTATTAGGAAAATAAGCCTATAGAAATGCATCTTAAACAAAAATACCATACACAAAAAGACTCTTATTTTAAGATGCCATTTCTATAGAAAAGCAAAAAATAGGTACTGTACAAAAAAAAGGAAAAAAAAGGCTTTAACTCAATCAAAAGGATGGTGAAGTTCCATGGAATTTTCTCACCGACAGAGAATACTTACTTGTCTTCACTGAGATGTGTGAGGATAGGAAAAATGGCAAGTCAGAGTAGTAACTTTGAGAGGATCTATAGCAGAATGAGCCAGTATTGCCCTGAGAAAGAGCTTAGCCAGTGGTTAAATGAGAGACTGGCTGGCAAACAATAGAAAATGCTGGCGTTTTCAGTTACTTACGGTTTCTTTCCCTCCAGAGTGTTCAGGTGGGTCTCGAGGGACTCCAGAAGACTTTCTGGGGCCTGCAAATACAAGAAAAAACAATCAAAACATAAAAAGTCCACTACTGCTATCCACCCAGACCAGTGAGTGTGTGACCAAATTCCCTTTAACGCTAACAAACAAATTCATGACTCCCGTTTCAGCCCAAATCCTCAGTTCCAGTTTCTCCCTCACTTTGTATACGTCAGGTTTTCTGTTGTTCTGTGACAGGTTGTTGGTTTTGTCACGTTCTGTTGGATTTTTCAAAAGGTCATTCCTCTTTCTTCGGGTTGTTGGTTCTTGTAGCTTCCCCTTTCAGCAACGTGTTCAGTATTTCTTACTAAAGCTTTGAAGACCACCTGAAAGTCTTCATCTCTGCCTATAATCCAGCATTTAGCTTGAGCGAAACTCAAATGAAGACCTGAATGTTAAAGTATTACCACGGCTGGAAATCCATTATTCTACAGCTGAAAAACTAAATATTATGGAAAAACCAAAACAAGGGGAACAAAGAGAATGAAAAGGAGGAGACAAGGGTGAAGATCTGAGAGGGACTGAGACGAATCCTGGAGGTTAAATACAGCGGGTGACTCCTGAAAGGTGGCAGCTGTGATTATGTGAGCTCAGGCGAAGGATCTGGAACTGATCCATGGAACTGATCCATGGAACAGGAGGAAACTGAATGATGACCAGGATCAGACACTAAACAGAGCCCAGCAAGTAGAAAACAAACTAATAACACAGGGGGGGAAAAAAGAATGACAAAAGAATGACAAAGCGAAAGGACAGAAACTCTAAAGAGAGAAGAAGCACAAAAACAAGCAGATATAGCTAGAAATAGAAAAAAAACCCCAAAGTAAATGAAATAACTCATGACCTGAACTTGAAAGGCAATTACTTTGATCTTCCTCCTCTTAATTCCTGTTAAGATGACCTCTGTTTTTCACACATTTCTTCTCCATTTTAGATCAGCTTTGGTAAAATGATCAATGAAATGGTGAAACATTTGACGTTGTGCTTTAGCTAAGCTTGCATTCATTTGAGTTTGAGACCTGCTCTGAGAGGGATGCTTTTCAATTCCCTGTAAATGGAATTGTACTTTCCATGTAGCCGTAACATCCTGAAAATCCATGATTTTCATTATGTATAAAGGAGCGTTTATCACAAAACAAAGAGAGGGAGGAAGGCAGGATATGGAGTGAAAAGAGGAGAAAGCAGAGGATACACCTACATGCAAATAAAGGAAACACAGATCCGGTCAGCTCTGATGCAAAGTCGCATGCTCCATCAGGCTAAATGGGACACATTCACCTCTGAGCATGCAGTAAAAAGGGATAATTCAATGTTCAGCAGGCTTCCTCAAAGGTCAATTCTACTTCAGCCAATAGAACAGACCCTAATTTCCCTTCATTAATTCCCCTGCTCTATTTCCTGGGTGTAGCAGTTTAAAGCCTCCGAGTCAATTATCCTTAAACTTAAAACCAACAAGGCAGCAAGACTGATAATAATTTGCCTTGGCACTGAGAGGAGAAGATGGGGCATTCATCATCGTGGGATATTTAAGCGTCTGCCCTCATAATCAAGTTCAAAGAGAGGCGCTTTGCTCACAGAGGACAGACACAACAGCTTCATTACAGAAGGGTTGCTGAACCATTCCCCCGTGGATGTGACAGCAGCAGGCCTGCAGGATTATGTCTACTCGATTCTCTGATATGAACTGGGCGAAAAAAGGTTGCTAGCTGCACAATGGTTGATAACGCAACAGCAGAATCAGTCTGCGTCGGCCTAATCTAGACATTTTTTATTTTGGTGTAAGTGTGGAAAACTGGCTTCATGGAAGAGTTTGAGTTGCCAGTATTTGTTAGTATGCTGTTTAAAAGCAGGATTTTCCTTACAAATGAGAGAGCGACCTTTTTCCAGCTAAACACATGCAGTAGCTAAACCATTTGGTTCTCCTGGAAGGGTAAAGTCTTAGGGGGGCTCGTTCTTAAAAGCATAACATAAAAAATGATTGAAAATATGATTGTATACTGTTTTTAATGTATCTTTCTGTTCCTTAAATAAATAATTGTTGTATGTTTATCACTCACTTCTTCTCAGCAAAGCAGCAAAACATTAGTAAATCTGGTACAAGGAAACTTTTTTTTTTTTGCGATGAAAAACATCTATTTAGCAATATGTCAAGTTATAACCAAGGAAAGGTGGCAGTTCATATCTGGTAATTTGGGAAAATAAGTATAAGTGACAAGCTATTTCAGCAATAAAGATGCAACAGAAACATTTTTCTTTCTTTTGTACAAAATAAAAAGCATATAAACTTGGCAGTTGCATGATCCTCTTAGTTAACTAAGGAAAAAGTAAATAAGTGGATTATCTTTTATTAAAAACAGTGAATGTTTTTTAAATGATCTGGTGGCTAACGTGAGACAGTTTTGCCCATGTCTTTGTAATTTATTACTATGAACTGACCGGAAGGCGACAAATCATTTCACCGTAAGCTATTATACTGTCAAAGTTTTCTGTGCTGCAAAGTCATTATTAATTTGCTGCTTCTGATTTATGCCAACAGCTCCAAATCGAGCTGAAAAGCTTGCATTTACTCGGCATGCTTCTGATGCAAGTCATCCATACTGACATTTAGCCAAAGTCAGTCTTAGCTGTAGAGTTTCCACAGCAGATCAATGTTTAAAAATCTTTCAATTATTCAAATATAAGACGGAAAAATGGTGTTTCTTATTATGGTAATTCTATATATTTGTTAATGACCCACCAAAAAAAGCATAAGTACAACACAAGCTGTCAAGGAAACTCTACAGCACAACTGAAAGAAACACTAGTTTGGTTAAAACAATATTTTTGCTTCGATTCCTTTGCAGCCACCAGGCCAAAAGCACTACTTGGCATACCACCGGTTTCATCCAGTCAACTCTCTCAGTCACATTTCCCCGCTTCATCTGAATGCCTGGTGCCCGTTGGATTGCGGTGCGTTCCATGTGCAGCGCGTGTCAATTCAGAGCACTCGAAAATATGGACCTTTCCTAAGCTTTCTGCTTCTAAACAGCCAGCTCTATGCACTACTCGCTACTCACACTCTCAGCCTGAATGATCAATCTGCATCTCTGGAAGTGAAAATAGAAAGGAGGGGGGGCAAAGGGGCCGTCAACAACCAAAGAACCAGAGCTCATTGGGTGGGAGCAGCTGTCCTCAAGTGTCTGATTGTTAAGGAGAAGCTACCACAGTGTTCAAAGCAGGAGAGGAAAAAAATAATAATGGCAGACACTCAAACAACATGCACACCACTCACATGCTGTTAGTTTGTTATAAAAATAAGGAGAAAAATCTCTGAGAAATTCTGATTTCTTAACAAAACATTAACTGAACGCCTTAAAGCTTTGGTCAGTCTTACCTGAGTTAGCTCGGGAATGTCGTTTTTGTCGATCCCCACTTGCTGCAAGAAAAAAAGAAAAGAAAAAAGTCTTAAAATTCTGTTTAAGACCGATGGAGTCTTCAGAGTGCTCTGCAGTGTACCTCAGCTATCTTGAAGAATTCGGAAACCCGAGTCATTCTTGTCAGGAACCTCTTGTAGATCTCGAGCCCGTCTTTACACTGACTTCTTTTCATCTGGAAAAATTTTTCTAGGCAGACAGATTACAGAATACTTAGAATCAAATGCAATTAAAGCTGTTTAGTCGTCATTTGTTGTTATGCGATGTGTGTGTTTTACCCCGAAACAGAGGCTAGAGATTATTTGGCAGAACAAAAGTAAGCTTTTTTACCTAGCAGGTTGATAATGCCGTCATTATAGCAGGCGTATAACTTGATTAAATCTTTGAAGAGTAGGAGAAAGCAAGCATTTATCACTCCGTTGTTCAGCTCTGGTGCATGCACCTAAAGGAGACAAATACACTAGATGAGTTTTGGGAAGATGCTTTCTAAATAGAACTCTTGCAATTTTGTGACATAAAAAGATTACATTCAACAACTTCTAATAAATTCCACTGAGTAAAACTGCATCTCCACTAGACTGCAGGGATAATGGACTTCCAGTCATATTTGATTGTTCAAGTTGATTATAAAACAAATTAGCAAATAAATGGACTAAAATCCAGTTTTATAACATTAAAATGTGATTAAAAAGAATGACATCATTAGAGGTTAATTCTTGCATTTTGTGTATAAGCAGGGCTGAATCAATTTGATTCTGAGTGATGCGTATTCATCTCAACACCCTAACTAGGGTTGTACAGTACCAGTGAGAGTTTTTTTCCCCCTCCCTTCTGTGTATATCCCTCAGCAAATTCCTCAACCTTGCAACGTGACATTGTTGCCTGTTAGCGGATGTCACTCACTTCAAAATCAAGCAGTGCGTCGATCTGGCCCTGGAGGGTGTTCATCCCTTTCAACAGCTTTTCTACTGACATGGTCCTCATCACTCCCTCGGATCTGAGATGTAATGGGATACAAAGAAATTAGTCAGGAGAATTTGGTGGCAAATAAAACACAGGCAAGAGGGAGAGATACTGTACTCATACTGTAACCCCCCGTCCTTGTTTTGGCCTCTGTATTTCTGTGCCTGTTTATAACTATCTGTATTCATATAATCTTAAAAAGCAGCCCATCCTACATACAGACATAACCCACGTGGGATGCGTGTTATTCAAGTCATAAGGCGGGGGGCTCGGTTAAACCAAAATAGCTTTTCACTCATAGAAAATCAATAATATTGTGGATGGAAACTATGTGAAATGAGCAGCTGTACCCTTTCTTGACTCGGACAAAGTCGAAAGACATCTGTCTGTAGGCGAAGGACTTCTCGTTGAGATAGCGGCTGTAGCGTCTGATAAATGTGGACATGTCATAGCCTGAGGATGACACAACATGGGAGGTTCTATAGTCGGTGTGGCATAGAAATGTACACAACGGTTAAAAGGCACAACAACAACAAAAAAATGTCAGTTTTATTTTTTTTTCCTGAAACACCTCCCTCCGTACCTCCCCCATTATCCATAATTATTGGTATTCTGGTTGAGCCAAAGTGTTAGCGTAGGTTAGCATAAAAGTTGGAAACTCCATCCATCTATTTTCTATACCGCTTATGCCAAACAGGGTGGCGGGGGGCCTGAAGCCTCTACCCACTTGTCCATCACAGGGCCGCACAGAGACAAACAACCATGCACACTCGCATTCACTTCAAGGGGCAATGTGGAGTGTCCAATTAATCTAACCTGCATATTTTTGGATGGTTGGAGGAAGCCGCAGTAACGCACACAGACACACCAATAACATGCAAACTCTACACAGAAAGGACCCAGATGGAAACTGCAAGATTTATTTTGGAGTTAGTTTAACAAAAGCATCAAGCAAAGCCTAGCTTAAGTCCCGATGCAAATTTTTACCAAAGGTAAAACTAAGAATGGGTGTTTTCAAGGATCTTTAAAACGATTACTTTAATAACCCCTTTTTTCCATTCCAAAATCGCACTGTTTTAAAATTAGTGATTCTTTGTGTATGGTTTCATAGAAATAAACAAACTAAAACGGACTTATAAATGCACTGTTTTGCTTTCTAAACCGCAGTCACACAAGCAGAAAGCAAATATCTGTGACAACAGGCTGCAAACCCACTGTTTATCACCATAGGAGATGGGCTCATTTCCATGGAGATGGATTTAATTGAGGGGAATGAGGACTTGGGGAGCAGAAACTGGGGGCGGTCAGATTGGGTTCAACATTCAAAGGTGGATGTCTCGCTGCCCCAGCATCTTGTGAAGATCTCGACACATAAACTACGGCTAAAAGGGAATTCGATAAGCCACGGTGAAAGTGTGACAGACATGCGGCCTTGTACTTGCACTTTGTTTCATCGTATCACCACACACCGTGAGAGCCAGTTTTGTCCAGAAAGTTGCTGAGGTTGAACAAGGTGTTTCTAGACGCCAGGAACTGAAGGAATTTCTGCAAGAGAGGACAAATGCACAGCGCTACATAGGTCAGTCTTTCTGAATGCTTTCGTGGCTTTGAGTTCATTGTCGAACATGTTGGTGGATTTGTATCCAGTTCTTAAAAGGCCCTTGTGAATCTATGGAGCGCATTCAAATGTAAAGATCTAATTTAATTTTGTACTTGAGTTTTATTTTGAAGCAATTTTGAAGCAACTTTTTGTTTGCGTGTGATTAATGAGCGGAGTAATAATGGAGCGATGATGCTGCCCTTACAAGTGGGAGTGTGTGAATACAAATGTGAAACATGAAGCGCACAGGGGGAAAAAAAGGATGATTGCCATCATAGCAAAGAACATATTGTTACTCCTCTGAAATTGAATTTGAATTGTGCTGGATTTTTCGGCTCATTTTAGCTTTTGCCTTATTTTTTAAGAGCAGCATTGTCAAGGTAAAGTTAATTTACCTATTAGCCAGAGTTACTGCCTCTCGAACCCCCCCAACAAATAGTCCCATAACAGTATTTCTCCCTCACATTTGTGCTGCCAGCAATTTAGGAGGAGCTTCTCCAATGTGATGGCTAAGAAAAGAGCATCTGTTTATCTTCCTGTCGTCACCCGTACAGAGGCTTTGCCCCTTTGATCAGCTATCGTAGCATCAAATGGGTCAGGAGTTCAGGAGCAGGCAGGCCTCCTCGCTCACTCCATGAGCCCCACTTAGGGTAAGATATTGATTTTGAACGGGATTATGTTCTGTGTGTGTGCGTGGGCTCTGGGTATCTTCAGATGGGAAAGTGGCCACTTGAGCGAACATCCTCATGTCATGGACCTCTCAGAATGAGAAATGAAGGGCAAAGATGAGTGAGTGGGCACTCTTTGGGTGGGGGTGTGAGACAATAATGCATGCTACGTTTAAGGCCCGCAAGAAAACTGGGTCACTTTAAGCGGGGCTATGTCATGATGGGTAAATACTTCTTTTCCCTAAAGGCAGGAGTTAGAACACATACTGTATGTAGAGATATTTACTTCTGTACACAATCAACTTTCAAATTTATAGATTCCAAAAATAAAATGCACTTAAATGCTTTCTAAAACAACTCTTAGCACCCTATTTTGCAAGTACTTCTTAAATTAGCATTAAATGGCTATAACTAGTCCATGAAGGCCACAGCTAAAGAGAGAACCTCCATTTATTTGAGTCCAGTGAATAATTGAGAGAAACAACTAATGGATTTCTCATCGTCTCACCTCATTGCCGTGCACCATGAGGTGGTGTGTGGTGATCAGGGCTTTGAAAACCACCACCCAGCTGGCGTTGCCGGCCCTCTCTATCAGCGTGTCGGCCATCTGGGGAACGTTGACATTGGTCTCCTGCGTGGCCTGGATCAGGTCTGAGGAGCACAAAGGAGAAGACGGGTGATGGATTTCGGCAGCTATAGGTACACGCTGCGTTGAGAGCTTTACATTCAAGTGACGAGAATCCAAACAGGGGAGATGATAGAGGACAGATGGGTGAGAGAGCACACAAACAGGACTGTGCTACTGTATATGTGATAACACTAAAGGCAACAGTTCCCATATTTGACATTCACAGTCCAAACAGTTTACCAAAAGTGGCCTTTTTATGTAAATCATCAACTTGTTGCTATTATTCCATTTTCTTTGTGCAGTCAAATACCCGTTCAGTGAGAAGCAGACTTGTCTTTGTGGCCAGTTTTTTGCCATTCAAAAAAGGTGTTGATACGAGTGTCTCGCTTTCTGCAGCCACTGCCTGGTGTGAGTCACATTGGCTGCTGCCTGGCTTTGTTTCTGCAGCCAGGCACCAGCACCGGGAGAGAAAGAGTGGAATATTCCACTGCAGAGAAACACACACACAGGCAGTAGGTACAAATACAGCCGTAGCTCAAATGACGAAAGGATCCTCAGAGCTGTGGATGACACTGACGGCATCAAATGAATGTGCTGATCCTCTTAAAATATGCTCAAACTAAATTTACCAAGACTTCAGAGTGTTTTTCAGACTACCATATGCTTTTTTACATGAGAAATGTTTATATGTAAGCACGACTGCATCGTCACATTTGCTTTAATGGGTGGAAAATAGCCAGAATTCAAATTACAACCGTTCCATTTTAAAAGTCATTGATATGGATCAAATAGTAGGGTGTACTCTGGGTTTCTTCAGAGTGACACACCCATAGTTTTAACCTGACTCTGTGGGGCATTTTGGTGTCTTTGAGCTGACAATTTGAATTTACATGCCCAAAAACATTATGCGTTTTTCGATAAAAAGCTCAGACAAGTATATTCAAAGGTGCCGCCAAGAATACATCCTGGAAAAGAATCAGAAACTGACTGATGACACCTTCTTTAAATGCCTCAGTCAAAGAAACCCGTTCACTTTACTGTCCTCCATGACAAATCTCTGGGTTTGAGGAGATGTCTGTGCAGAGTGACGGACGGACGGCGCGAGAAGAGATGAGCGGCATCATTTCAAAAGCCTTAATCCAACTAAACAGGGGCAGACACTAAACCACTTGTGTTGAGACCTGAGATTTATTAGAAGTGCCACATCCTTGTGTGCACATTTATTGCCATCAGGGGAGAAGCAGTGGAGAGGTGTCTATTGACCTTCCATCCCCATGATACAATAAATCCAATTACTCACGGCTTTTAAACACAGTGAAAAATCTGTAAGTATAAACGGCTGAGGGATTTAGCGCCAAAGGCAAGAAGGCCAGTAGTAGGTCCGCCTTCAGGGTTCACTGAGAAAGGGTTTGCTCAAATCTGGCTGGGGCCAAAAGAACCTGGTCTAACAGGGCCTGCTAAAGCTAATGAGAAGCCCTTCTGCAGCGATCTGTGCAGTCACAGAATCATTGCTGATCCACGTGGACCCTTTTTTGCCTGATACAAGCCCAATCAGGAGTTTTGCTATTGAAGAGTAGCCTTCAGCGAACTGTTTGTAAAACACTACCATGAGAATGAGTGCATCTTCCCCTCCAATAGCACGTTCCTGTGCTGCTGGGAGAGGGTACACAAGAGCCAACATGTCGTGTAAATGACTAATTGTACCTTCTCTGGTGGCAAGTGAAATAATAGTATGTTAGAAGAGGAACTAGAGAGAAAACAAGACTTGTGTTGAGCCCTGGGATGCGTCATAAGTTCCACATCCTTGTATATTTACAACCAGTAGGGGAGAGGCAGGATAGACGTATCTGTTGGCTCCATTCCTGGCTCATTATAGAATACATCCACTCACACATGTCTCTCTGGAAGAGTCTGCAAATATCAACAACCCAAAGTCATGCAAGATAAAAGAAATACAGACATAATTCAAAATCAACACAAGAAAATTGTGGTAAGACTTCTCATGCAATGATCCGTATACAGACTTGTTAGCAGTGCTGACCAACACGCGCATAAATGACCTCAGACGCGGGTCAACCCATCTGTGTGCGTGGCTGTAGTTTATAATGGAAACCCACCAAAGTCGTGTAGAGCCTTGCCCGGCCGAACCGAAAGATTTCTTAAATTTGGACATTTCTAATGTGAGCGACTCAACCCACTTGTTGAGAGGCGATGGCGCTATGTCCATATGTCTGTTTTTCCCCTTAAATAATGAGCTGTAACCAAAATGAAAGAGTGCCGTGGTCAAAAATGGGAGGAGTCACACTGTGACAATGCTTTTAGGATGATTTTGACTTTAAAACTCATTCGGAAGTCTGATTTCTTCCCCTCTTCCTCTACCATCGCTTCATCATTTTGTAATGCTGGATGTGTATTTCCTCTTCAATAGTAAGACAGCCAGCATGCAAACACAGATATCCACACAGACTCTCACACACACACACAGCATGTGAAGGATAATCCCTACGGGGTTGATGAGTCAGCAGACTGCATCATCGACTGCCTCGTCTCTTTCTGTCCGTCTGTCGTTCTCACTCTCTGCCCGTTTCTCTCTGGATTTCCCTTCTATGAGGGTCGGTGAGACTAAAGTTAAAGAGATACTACCTCTCCATGAATGTACACACAGAGAGTGTGCACTTTCAACCTTTCGGCATTTCTCCTATTTTGTTGTCACGTGATTCCTGGCTTAGTTTGACAGAAAACAACACGCCAACCCACTTCGAGGTGAAAAAGACCCCCTGGAAAAAAGGACAAAATATTTGCACAAAGTATCGTGCAATGGTTTGTTATAAGATGTAAGACAGAAATTAGGCTTCATATTTTGCTAAATGTTTGAATATAAAGATTTTCCTTCCACTGGGTTTATTACAGGGTTGGCTTGTAATTTCAAATTTCAAACTTTGTGAAATATTCATCCTAAATGTAAAATGTAACTAAAGCTGATGCTCAATATTTTTTAATGGAAGAAAAGAAATCGCTTGCTCCTGAACGCGGACAAGACCAAGTTGATGGTTGGGAGGAGGCTGCAGTTATTGGGGAATACAAATATTTCCGTGTGTATACTGGTCCAACAAACTGGACCGGTCTTGCAACCCCAGCCCCGGGTAGCAGACCGGGATGAGCAAACCCTATTTGCTGCAGAAACTCGGATCCTTGGATGTGTGCTGCAAGACTCTGGAGATATTCCGGCAGACGGTGATGGCATCTACTTTGTCGTAGTGTGCTGGGGCGGCAGCGCCGGTGCCAGGGACGCCAGCAGGATCCACAAACCGATACGGCGGGCTGGGGCCGCTATTGGACTGAAACCGGAGACGTCTGACTCAGCGAGGAGCACGAGGTCGCGGAACAAACTGGACTATCCCTCCCACCCTCTCTCCGTAAAACTCTGCAGGAAACTGCGGCGCTCATTCCCAAACAGACTGACTCACCGAGAAAGGTTCATGAAGTCCTTATTACTGTTCACCAACAGACTCTTTAACAGCCCTGCTGAAATGGTCTGAACACTTATTGCCATTACTCTCGTCATCTTTGTTATTTCTCTATAGTTTTTTTAATTCTTGCTATTTTTATTATATATATATATATATATATTAGGGATGGGACGGTTTCTGAAAACCGTCTGAACCGTTCGGTTCGACTGTCTCGGTTCGGTTCGCGTGTGTACCGCACGGTTCATGCACTGCTCCTTTTTCTCAGAGGGAAGCGTTTACACTCCAGAGCAGAAGGGGGCACTACTGCACCCAAAGCCAACCAGCAGTAGGAAACAAGAAGAAGAAGAAGCAGCGTAGCCGATAAAAATCAGACGCGCCAACAGCAGTTTCTAGGTCTGCTGTATGGACCAGTTTGCATTTAGAGGGAAGCACATGTTGGAATTAGCACTGTTTCCTCGCTTGCAATGCCAGAATCTCACCTACTTTTAACCTAAGACTGTCACAATAATGGATCAAATGTCAGACTGCTTTTTTCTTTCAGTTTTAACTAGGGATGGGGATCGAAACCCGGTTCTATCAAGGACCCGGTTCCACTTTTTTCAAAACCCGAAAATGAATAACGTTTGGGCTTATCGATACCACTATCGAGTCTGGTCGTTTTTTTTATTATTACAATAGCAATTGTGAAATCTGTGTTGTAATCGGCAGCATACAAGCTAGTTAGCTTGAAAAGTAAATAAAGTTTCAGACGTGCTGCGTGATGATGTGTTCAGATTGGCTCAGTAAAACGACAATTAGGTTATCATGATGCGTTCAAGTGTAACGTAAAGAAAAGGGAAATTGAGTTTTTGGCGAGAAACATGAGTAATACAGTTGTATATTGCTCTAATTATTTTATAATATATAATTAAACTACTGATGCCAACATTTATTAAAAATTACATTTAATTTAAAATACAACTATTTATTTGTTAAATATTGTCGCATCGTCTTTCCACCAAATAACAGGAAATTATCGATAGTGGTATCGATAAAGACTCAGATCGATAAGGAGTATCGATAAAAGTATCGATATCAATAAATATTAACGATCCCCATCCCTAGTTTTAACCTGACTATACAAGACATAATGGATTTACCTAACAATCACCATATACCGAACCGAACCGAAAACCGTGACCACAAAACCGTGAAACGAACCGAACCGTGGATTTTGTGAACCGTCCCACCCCTAATATATATATATATATTTATCGTCTTCTATTATCAAACAGATTACACATTTTTGCAGGATTAATAAAGGACTTATTGATTGATTGATTGGTTGGTCTGTGAGTGATGGAGGAACTCAGGAAGGGTGAGATCATTCACTCAGTAGTAGAGTAGAGTGCAGTGCAATTAGATTAATAACATAATGCGGATCACTGATCAGACTTAGTGATGATTCCTTTGTTCGGGTACAAGGAGTTAAAATGCGAATGTGTTGTCGTCTGCCTGGGAATTAGCAGAGCTTTGATGTTGGTTCAAATCTGCGTCTTCCTTGCTCTATGGGG